ACTAATAAAATATGTAGTTATCATACGTAAATATACATTTGTAGCCAACAGTTCCCTAGTTCATCATCTGACTTTAGATTTATGTGTTATATTACCCAGCAAAACTACTCTTTATATCCAAGAGAAAAGAAAACATACGCCATAAAAACTCCTCCACAAATATTCTCAGTAGCATTTTTATAATAGCCAAAAAGTGAAAATAACCCAGCTGATGAATGGATAAACAGAACGTGGTCTATACGTACAATGGAATACTATTTGCCCATAAAAAGACAGGACGTTTTGATACATGCTACAGCATGAATGAACCTTGAAAACATGCTAAATGAAAAGAAGCTAGTCATAAAAGGCCCCATGCTGTATGATTCCATTTATATAAAATATCCAGAATAGACAAATCTATGGAGACAGAAAGCAGATTAGTATTGCCTAGGGCTGGGCAGTGGGTGATGGTGAGTGACTGCTATTGGTTTCTTTTAGGGGTGACAAAAATGTTAAAAAATTAGTGGTACTAGTTTCACAACCCTAAGAATATACTAAAAATCAATGGCTTGTACTCTTTAAGTGGGTGAATTTATATACATATAGGAATGTTATTATATCTCAATAAAACTATTTTTTAAATGCATGTGTTATTATACAATAGTCTATGAAGACTCCTACAGAAAAGCAAATTTGTCTCTAGCTGTAATTTTTAGAAGTTTTTAATACTGCATATTTTTAAAGCTATTTTATTAGAAAACATACAAAGCTCAAGGTAATTATATCTTCTTGGAAGACTGTATCTATTATTAATCTCAAATATCCCTCTTTAACCTGTTTAATACAAGTGCCTTAAATTCTATTTCATCTGATTAAATGGCTATGGCTTCTTTTTCATTCATGCAGAATATTTTTCTTCATATTTCTAATATCAAGGTTGCTTTTTTCCTTTATAACTATCTCTTGTATGTATACAAGTTAGTGCTTTATTATATATTTTTAAAACCTGAGGTTCTAGGCCTGACCAGTGTGGCTTAGTTGGTTGGGAGTCATCCTGCAAAGAGGAAGCTTGCCAGTTCGATTCCCAGTCCAGCACATGCCTGGGTTGAGGTTGGGGCACTTACAAGAGGCAACCAATCAATGTTTCTCTCCCTCTCTTTCTCCCTTCCTTCCCTATCTCTAAAAATAGATTTAAAAAGTTTTTTTTAAGAAAAATCTGAGATTCTATTAATAGGGGAATTTAACCCATTCACCTTTACCTATTACTTAAACTTATTCCTGTCATCATGTATTTTATTTGCTATACTATGTTTTCTTTCCTCTGCCTTTGGTTAGAATAATAAACTTTTTGTTTTTTATTCTTATTTATTCTTATTCTTATTTTATGGAATATCCTATTTGTGGTTATTAGTCATATATTTCAGATTACATTTTTCTAACAAATTATAGTTATAGAATCTATATCTAAATCTTTTTCCTGAAAAAAAAATATCCTAATACTTTATCACTTCTTTTTCTTCCACTCTCCCATGTTGAGCTGATCTGATCTAGATTGATATATTAAAAGACTAACTTTACAAATTAAAAAAAAAACAAACTATGAGACTCTACTTTATATACCTGTTACTGCACTTGTGTGTATTATAGAGCTCTCCACTGTTTGTTACCTCAACACTGTTTCCTCACAACATGACTTCCTCTTCTTTCGGGGACCCCCCAAACCGCGCTTTGCGGTCAGGAGTACTTCCATAAATAATACTTTCAAAAAAGGTCTGTAACAATCAGAGACAGTGGATCACTAAAGGTCCAAAAACGCTTTTATTTTCCTCTCATACTGAATCGCTTTTTTGTCTGAAAATGGAATTATGGGTTCAAAATAATTTTTTCCCACAACTTCAAAACTATTGCATTTCTATCTTATATCACTTGTTTTTACCAATAACAGGACTGAGATCACCCTAATCCTTTCCTTTGTAGATATATTACATTTGCTTTCTGGGAGCTTTTAGTCAGTTTGTCTTTATTACTAGAATTCTGAAATTTCATAGGTCGACATTTGAGTGTAGATCTTTTGTTATTCTTTTATTCAGTACTCTATTGGGCCTTTTCAAAAGACTTGTCTATCTTCAGTTTGGAGAAATTTTCTCCTATTCTTTCTGTGATTGTAATCCCCTCCATTACCTTTACTTATTTAATCTTCTATCACATGAATGTTAAAGCTTTAGAATGTCCCCTATATCCTAAGACATTTTGTTTATGCTTTCCATTGTTTTCAGTGTAAGACTGCATTCTAAAAAATCTCTTAGCTCAGTCTTCCAATTCATTGATTTGCTTTTAGCTGTGTCCACTCTATTTACCCTATTTATGCAGGGTTTTTTTAAATCTTGACAACCATATTTTTTTAATTCTAAGATTGGCCTAATTTCACTCAATCCCGTGTTTGTTTTATAAATGCAATAACCTCTCTTGTCCATCTATGAATATTAATTTTACTTGTTTCAAAGTCTGTTGCTTATTTGTTGTAATATTGGGCGTTACTTTTTGCTTATTAAGTCTCGTTTTCTGTCATAAGTTTTCCTCAAATATTTAGTGCTTCTTGGGAACAAGATAATTTCAGAGATCCTATCTGGCTGTCAGTATATGCTATTTCTGTTTACCATCATCTGCCTGAAATGATAACGTGGGAAATGTGGAATACGAAACCAGTTGTCAGTCAATGTCAGGAGTTTGTCTTGCCAGGATCAGGCTTCTTGAGCTTCCTCACAATCAAAGGCTACCTGAGGATCCCCCAGCCTCTCTGGCCTCTGTGTTATACTTAGTGCATTAGTTTGGATTCACAGTATCCTGAGGGAGGGGTTACTACGCGCCGACCCATTCTATATGCACCGTCTCGCCGAATATGACAGCCCCCCTCCTCATTGCCTGAATGTGATTCTGGTCTGAGAACACTCTAGAGTCATGTATTTTGAGGAGTGGTCCACCAGGTTTTACTTTTCCATGGATATGATTCCTCATGCTTAATTTAATATCTTTCAGGAATTCCTGAAGTTCCTATCAACCAGTGGGACTCTTTCTTGTTTTCCTAGGCTATCCTCAATTTATTCATGTAAGTGTAGGTTTATATAGAACAGATATATATGTACATCTTTTCTTACGGAGTTTGCAGTCGTGGATATGCCAGTGGTGGCGGTGGTGGTGATGCAGTTAAAGAATATCATGAGCTCAGCCTACCATTCTGAACCCCTTCTGGGTGCCATTATTTGCTAAATAGTCTGTACGCCAATGTTAACATGGCGGTTTCTCTAAATCTGACACTTGTATATCCAACTCCTGTTTGACATCATTTCTTGGATTTCGTAACAGGCACCTCAAATTAACATGTCCAAAACAGGATTACTGATCTTACCCTTACCAAGTCTGTTTTCCTCAGGCATCATCCATATACCAGGTGCCTGGGAGCGAATTCTTAGCAACTGCTTTCCCTCACTTATTACCAAATAAGACCTACAAAATAGATTTAAATTCATTCCAACTCGACTGCCATGAACGTTGCCCAGGTCAGCATCCTCTCTCACCGGGGCTACAGAACAGCCTCCAAACTGGCCCCGCGGCTTCTCCTCTCCCCTCAGTCATTCTCCCCAGAGGGACAGAGTCTGTGCTTCCACATACAAATGTGATCCTGCCATTCCCCTGCTTAAAACTCTTCCATTACTTCTCACCGCTGCTGGGATAAAGTCTACGCTTTTTCACATTAAATGCTATCTCTGAATCCAAATTTGGAAACTAGATCTTTGCTATTTACTTAAAGACATCTTTGAGGCCAATAGCTTAGTAGCCTGCCAGGGTTCTATAAATGTGACTTTCCCTTTTCTTTGTTCCACTGCCTTACTGAGTTATTCCATAACTTCATTTTGAATTAATAACTATGATTCTTCTTAACTACAATGCCCATATCATAAAACTGCTATTGTTGTATTCTTTAGATTATAGGTATTTGTGTCTGTAGCTAGATCAGTTCTTTCAGTAACTATCCTTCTCAAATGAACCAGTCAAGTTAAAGGTTGGAATCCTCTTAGTCCAACTTGCTATCACACGGGAATATTCCCAGATATGTCCCAATATGACAGGTTACTGAAGGCTTTGCCAGTGCAATCATGGGTAAAAACCCCTAACTACTCTAGGATGCAGCTTCCTTTTTCTGTCAAGCGAGCGAAGGGATGGAGCTGTATGAATTTTAAGGTCTCTTTCATTTCTAGTGGTCACAGATTCCATGACCTAATGAGATAGTTCTTTAAGAAAGTGCAGTATCTATCATTCAAATTCCATGAAAATTATATAGAGGGTAATATTCTACTTCAGGTTTAAGAAGGACTTTCATCAAAGAGGAAAATAATTCTACTCAACATTTCCAGGGACAACTACAGATCTACTTTGCCAAGATTTAGTGCTGTCCTCAAGGGCTCAATGATCACAACCTCAATAAATGAAAATAAAACAACAACAAGCAGTATTACTACTATTACTACTACACAGTAACACCAACTGAAGGCTTTTAGTTCATAATAGGTAATGACCAAAAATTAAATATAATAAGTAAATAAGAATGGAAAACAGAGAAAAAAAGTTACAGTGGGTACTAAAGGCTTCTTCCTGAAGGATCAATAAAGATCAATAGTTTGTACTGGTTTATACAAAGAACCAACATATCCCCCTTGTTCCATTAACTCCTTCAATTTTATAACAATGTTAAAAGGAGGGGTTCTGAAAATTAAGCTACCAGTCAGATCTAATGTTTATTAATAGCCTTTACATCTGACTACAGTCAACACTAAGTCTGGATAAGAACCATAAACACCAGGAAAAACCATTCCTTCCTTCTCTATTAACTTTTAACTCCTGACTACCTTCCCACAAACGTAAAACCTTTGAAAATTGGACTCTATTCCCACTATGCCAAGTTTGAGTACTGCTCTTTGTATTGATGGATTTCATAAATTAAATGATCCACACTGCTTTACCTGATACATTCCAACTCCAATGTGCTTTGGCTCGATTTTCACCAGCTCAGCTAATGGATCTTGTACACGTCTTGCTATGGAAACTGAAAAAACAGAATCAGAAAACAAGTAGGTCTTAAGAGTATCCAAGTAATTACTTACATTAGTGCTCCACTAAGGAGGTACTTAATTCCATCCCTCTTTAACCCTTCCCAAAAAGACCAACAACTTCACACAGACACACACACACACACACACACACACAGAATGTAAAATTTCAGGATTGATTATGCTACCAGAACCCCTAGGCATTCCTGAGGACAGAGTAAAAGGGTTATACATTTGAAAAATAAGTCAATAGAACACTTAGTTGCTATACTTACACAATTACCTGTCACTCTTTAAATACAAATAGAGAACAGTAAAATACCTCACACTTTAAATAAAAGTAGTTAATTGTTTTACTTTTAAATAATCCTACATTACTATAAACATGACATACATTTGTATGGCAAATATGCTTATTAGGACTAGATCCTGAAAATGGTGAATGAACGATGAAATCGTATCTTATTGCAATCAGAGACCAAGTCAGTTGGCTAGTAAACACACTTGTATTGCCTTGAATGTAACTGTAAGGTCACACTGTGAAGTGACCTCAGTCACAACTGCCTGTCTCCAAACACACACACACTCCTAATCACATCTCTTTCTTGACCATCACAATTCATGTTCAAGAGACTTGAAAGTTAACTTCAAACATTGCTTTACTTGTGTCATTTTACTTTGTCATCATTTAGTGCCTTTTTCTTTTTTTACCATTTGGTAAGAAAATGTCCTATCAAATTTAGCTTTTAAGACAGAGTTAGCTAGAGAAAAGAAATTTAATATGATCTTAAGGATTCTTCTAAATGCAGATTTTTTCCCCCCAAGTAACATAGTTACACTGAGCCTTACATATGAAAAGCTTGTATTTTCTAAACACAGGAAAAGTAGTCAGCGTCACCTACTCATATAAAATGTTGGATGAAATATAAATTCATTAAGTGAAAACATTACGACCATCAAAGGAAATCCCACGCCTGTTTCCATGTTAAACTGTTCAAGGTCTGGCAACAGACGCCACCTCTTACAAGTGATTACCAGATTCTCCCATCCCTGATTTCCACCACATCGCCTCAGAGATAAAATCGACTGTGAACATTAAGTTCACTACAAGGTCATTCAAGTCTTTTTCATATCTTTATTATTACTTCTAACATGTTGTGACAACGGCAGCTTACAAAGCAAGCTTAGAGAGCAATAATCTGTTGTCATACAATCTATTTCTTCCACAGAAGAGACTGGGATTCCAAGGCCAGCACATATACTTTTCCTATCCAGCCTCACAAAGGGTTAAGCAGTGCAGGTTAAATAGATTTTTTATAAGCATACTTATAATTATACATTGAAAAGAAATGCCACCAGAAACTCTATACATTCTCTAAAAGCTAGTATTATTTCTTTGTTCTAGCCTTTATCTATATATAATGCAGGAAGAATTACTGAATTCAAACATATATATTACCAAAATACATTATTGACTTTAAAACAACAGCAACAACCCATACAGTAAACCAGTCAAAGCTGAGGGCATCAGAACATTCACTGTGCAGGAAGAAAGTATCAGAAATTCAATAAAAGGGTATCAATAATAGGTAAATCTCTGAAATCAATCTCTTCAGGAAAACCCAAATTATGAAAACCCAAACTTAGAAATTGGAGAGAACAATTGCACAATTTGATAAATGTGGGCAGATTCCCATATTTTAAAATTGCTGAAGTACACAAAAGGATTTTAAACTATTTTCTACCTGGTTCCCTTCAAACTGATTCACTGCCAGCGTCTCCTTTGTTCATCCTAATACTGCCAAATGCAGCAACAATGGATTGGAAGTAATGGCTTCTAGGTGACATATTAATTCTACAATCCTAAGAGCCTCTGGAGTTACAATGTCCCCAACCTCAACATTGATCCTAGTATTTCTAGAATTGGTACTTCCCTTTCAGATTTTGTTCCCTCTATATAGCATAAAACCCAAGCCTGGAAGAGATGGGAGACAAGAAGAGAAACAGAGGGAGATAAACCTTGTCCAAAAGTAGAATTTGAAAAGTAGTGTGCCCAGGCTTTGAAGAGAGTATGGTGCTGTTCTCCTGCTACAGAGCCACCAAGAAAAGAGTTATGTAATCGACAGGAACAATGCATGTCTGCAGGTTGAGAATGACCAGGCTAACAGCAGATTTCTGAAAGTAAGAGACAGGTAGTTCAGGCAGAAGGACTTCAATAGATTAGTATTAAAGAGAATAAAGAGAGAGGAAGAGCTGTGACCCAAACTTGGAGCGCATTCACATTGTGTGATAGAAAAGAGAAGAAAATAATAAAAGAGACAGAAATGAATGATGAGGAAAGCATAGTAAAAGAAGTTAAAAACACTTCTAGAAAGTGTTAAACAGAGTTACCATATGTCCCCAAATTTTTATTCTTAGGTATATACTCAAGAGAAATGAAAACATGTCCACATAAAATCTTGTATATAAATGCTCATAGTGGCATTATTCACAATAGCCAAAAGTGAAAACAAACCAAATATCCATCGTCTGATAAATGCATGAACAAAATGTGGTATACCCAATACTGTGGAAAATTATTTGGCAATAAAAAGGAATGAAGTGTTGATTGCATGCTGCAGCAACCTTGAAAACATTATGCTCACTGAAAGACGCCAGCCAGTCACAAAAGACCACATACTGTAATGATCCCATTTATATGAAATGTCTGGAATAAGCAAATTCATATAGACATAAAGTAGATTAGTGTTTGCCAGGGGATAAAGAGAGGAAGGAAAGGGGGACTGATTAATAATGAGTATGGGGTTTCTATTTGGGGTGATCAAATGTTCTAAAATTGGATAGTGGTGACGGTTACACAACTCTGAATATACCAAAAATACAAGGACATACACTTTAAAGGGTAAATTGTATGCTATGTAAATTATACCTCAATGAAGCTATTACACATTTTTTAAATGTAGTATGTCCAAATGTATGGCAAATACTATTTTGCCCACATGTAACATCAGTGTTTCTCTGATTACTGCTACTGGTTATACTGTTCAGGAAATTCCAGTTAATGCAACCAGACGAGTAAAGAAAAAAGGTATAATTACTGAAAAGACAGAAACTAGGTTATTATTTGCAGATGATGACTGTCTACTTAGAAAACCCATGCAAGTCAATTGAAAACAATATCAGAACTGAAAAGATTTCAAGCAATTGGCTGGTTTCAAGACACCCAGGTAAAAACTGATGCTCCCACAATGTCTTCAACAGTCAACAAAAAAATTTCATGGAGGAAAAATCTATACTGTGTGTGTGTATTGTCGATGAATAAGAAAATTAAAATGTGCAGAACCCGAATAAAGATATAAATTTAACAAAATGTTAGTGTGTTTCTATAGAGCTGTAAAAGTATTAATTACGCAAGTTTATACAGAAAAAGAGAAATGCAAGGCAAAGTGCAATTTAAAAAATTAAAGCAAGTCATTTTATAAGCAGCAGTAATTCAGAGTCTTGCATTGTGGCTGACTAGATAGACCATTGAAAAAAGGACAAAAAGTACATATAGGAATTTAGCTTGAAATAAGTGGCAATGTATTGAATGGTAATGAAATTCAATAAAGGAAGGCAGTTAATAAGTGATATGGAAACAAAAAGTTAAGTATTAGAGGAAAAAATTATGTTAGAGATGCCCAGGCAGGGGGAGGGAGCGCACACTGAGTGAAAGGCAAGCGACCAGAGCCACTTCCCATGGAAAGCAGGTTGTGTAGTGCACAGCCATACGCAGCAGCCCCGAGAGCAACATTTCCTCCCAGCAGGAACACTCCCTACCCCCCTCCAGAATACTCTGGCATCTGTCTTTAATAACGTAGGTTTCCCTTACATGATAGGTGACCCTTGACTGTCCTCCAGGGGCACAGTACTAAAAAGCGGACTGTAAGTGCTTTGCTCAAAGGTGAGGTTTGTGAACTGTGCGCGTCACCATGGGGTGACATGGCCATTTCTTTGTGTATCTCTGATCTCAGTTTCTGTAGGTGTTTTCTCCTGCGTTGGTCAGGATTCCCCGGTCTCCTCCATGGAAGACCGCTCTCTCTAAGGTCTGGACAACAGCATTTAAGTTATTATTTAATCCCTCTTTTTTTCCCTGTAGTTATCTCCACTGTCATTCATAACCTGTGCCCTCCGGGGTACAGGCCTTCTGCTTAACTTTCTCCAAAGAATAAATATCTAGTCTTCATCAAAGGTGAAGAAAGGATAGTTACTCAAAATGTGTGGGATGGGAGGTCTGTTTTGTTCTAGCAATGTGAAATTCACATAACATGAAATTAATCATTTTACGGTGTTTAGTTACATATGCTTAAACATTGTGCAAACCACGTCTATCAAATTCCAAAACACTATTACCATCCCAAAAGAAAATGCTGTACCCATTGAGCATTCCCTCTTCATTCGCCCATCTCCTCAGCGCCTGGCTTTCTGTCTCCACAGAATTGCCTATTCTGGACATTTCATATAAATAGAATCATACAATATGTGACCTTTTGTGTTTGGTTTTTTTCACTTAACATGTTTTCAAGGTTTATCCATGTTGTAGCAATTATCACTACTTCGTTCTTTTTTTATAGCTGAGAATAATATTCCATCATATGAATATACGACATTTTGTTTATCCATTCATTTGCTATGGACATTTGGGTTGCTTTTTTTAGCTTTCAGCTACTGTACACAAATGCTCATAGCAACAATATTCACAAGTATTTTTGAGTACCTGTTTTCAATTATTCTGAGTATGTACATAGTAATGGAATTGCTAGGTTATATGGTATTCTATGTTTAACTTGGTCTAACTACTTTTTGAACAGGATTTCAATCAATCCTCTTATTTTAGACCACATTGCTCTCCCAAAATACTTCTAAAGGTGCTTGGTACATTTCCTAAACTTATGGGGTTTCCATGATTTACTTACAGTTAGTTCTGTTTTCTATATAACACTATCTTGAACTTTCTCAAGTTAGCTAAATCATTTATTTCTCAGCCATCTGCTTTCCAGCTTCAAAACTAATGTTGCTGTTATCTCTTCTCCCATTCTCTTTGTCCTAGTGAGTTTATGTCTTCATTTTATCAAGTTACTGTGATTTTAATGAGATGTTAGAAGGGAATGAAGAAATAACAGGAATACTGAATTTTCCATCTTCAATCAGAAGTACATAATAAATATTTTAATGCAATCTATCTACAATTCTAGCCATCCAATTTAAATGCCTCTCATGTGTATGGTATTTATTATGGGGGAATATAAGCATATATAAGGATAACCTGTTTTCAATAAGCTGATAAATTGGTCAAGAAGATGTAGTAATAATAGGAAGGTCATTTGCTTACATATGTTTAACACTTGCATGAAGGTTGAGGTTCTGTTATATTCTTATATGGTAAAGTTATGAAGAGTTGAAAGGTAAAACCCACACCCACAGGTAGGTCAGGTCTCCAATGAGGTATAAAGTCATCCCTGGCATTAATCACTACAAAAGAGACAGACCCTCACTCAGAAAACAGGAACTGAAAAGGAAGTGGGCCCTAGAAAACCAAGAAGGAAGCCTCTCAGCTTCTTTCAATCTTTGCCTCCAAGACCAGACTTTGAAGACTAAAAATGTCTAGGTAGATGTTTTGAGTGGGTATGGATCAAACACAGTCTCTGCCATGTGGACAGAAGCTGAAACAAAGAAGGAAGGCATACCTGCAGTGAATCACAAACTGAAGACACAGCTAGATTTTAAAATCAGAGTAATTAGGACCAGATATCAATTCCTCTTTTTATTATTTCGTATTTTCATAGAGTACTGTTGGAATGTAGCAATCTTGTCTCGCCTATAATACTATGATAGTTATGTACCCACACTGGCTCATGGTGAAAAGGAAATAGCAGCGCCCCCTAGCACTGGGAGATCTGAGGGATGGCCATCTCCTAGGCAATATTTTTTCCAGTGCCCTTTTGGAAGATTACCTTTCAGTGCCAATTTGCAGGAGCTGGGGTGTTCTGAATTTTATTTTTTATAAAGAAAAGTATCCTTTTATTATAGAAGTCCACAAATATTATGTACACACTTACTGAGCCACATGGCCTCTTTAAGCCCTCTAAGCCTTGGTTTCCTCGTCTATAAAGTCGGAATAATAAATGCCTCATGGGCAATCATGAGGATTAAATAAAATATTTCTGGTAATACATTTGCCACAATGTTTCATAAATATTAAGTGCTTTAAAAACATTAGTATTGCCCCGGACAAGTGGCTCTCGGTTGGTTGGGGTGTCATTCTGTACACCAAAAGTCTGAGGGTTCAATCCCTGGTCAGGGTGCATATAGGAGGCAACCAAGCAATGGTTCTCTTGCACGTAGATGTTTATCTTTCTCTCTATCCCTTCCTCCTCTCTAAAATCAATAAATATATCCTCATGTGAGGATTAAAGAAAAAAAAAGTCTATAAAGAAAAAAAAATGACTATTAACAGCTACTACTATGATTACTATATTTAATCCTCTTTATTACTATTATTATTTTGATTATTAGTATCATTACAAGGCAAGTACCAAAACAGTATGTGGCAAGGAGGCACAGACATGCTGAATGTGATAGGGAAAAGTAAGATTATAGAAGCAAGATTTTGAGCTGGGATCTGGGTTTGAGAAAATGATCCATTTAGACAGGGACTGTGCCATGGAATGAACAACTGAACGGGAACTACAAGCTCTTCTGGATGTAAGAAAGAAAAGTCTAGCCTTAAATTAATGCAAAAAATTTCGACTGTGTATCTCTAGGTGTGGATTTCAAGAATAGCCAATGAATTTTGATGAGAATATTTAAGGGAAAAATTCAACAAAAAGTACATTTCTACCAAAGTAGTCTAAATATTCCCATTACACAGAAAAATGCTCTGACCAGATCTAGTATTTTGCTTGTAATACCAATTATTATCACTGGATGTACTGAAGTATCTTAATTTCTTCACACTCAAGATTTTAACTAGTCCACATCACAGAAATCAAAGCAAGACAAGAGAAACTGGTTATTTGACAAATATTAAGCAATAAACTGAAAGTCTGTGCGTACTCATACATTTGATTATAAATATTGTTAATATATTGCTTTTGCCAACAAAAAGCCATAATATTATTTTGTTATAATAATGAGAGCTTAGAGTATTTTATTATTTTTATTAACTCTCTAGCATTTAATTTTACTAGAAATGTTTTGCGCTGATTTTTCACTATACTCTAGAATACTATGCAGTATTCTTTAGAAATAGCATTCTTCCTCGTTTTCCATATTTACAGCTATTATTCCAACCAATCACTTTCTAACATGCCTGCCTATTCTTATACATATATATATTCTAAGTTTCCTTAGCTATTTAAATATTCTTCTTGCTACAAATACAAGACTAAAATGTCAAACCCTCAGGCCTCCTTGCTGGTACGTGCCTCCTACCTGCACTTCTCAAGTTGGGGTCCAGTCCTGGCATCTCCTTGTTAGCTTCAGGGCTGACACTGTAGATTGATGCTCCTGCTTCACTAACGATGCTGAGAAAAAAGAAAAGGGGAGTATCATTTTCCAAACTTTTTGTCTCAAAGAAAATAAAATAAGACTAGGTAAGAAAGGAAACTTGCAAAGCAAAGTGCCCTCTTTATATTTCAATGATATTTAGAGCATTTAATTTTTCATTTAACGTAAAGTGATTAAGCAATGTTTGTTCTTTTCCACATAGAAAATGCACCAATTTAAATCCATAATGAAGTAGTTCAGCCATTTTCGGTCAGTAGCAATGAGATAAGTAATAGATGGACACAATAGATAGGCCCCTTTGATGCCAATTACAAAATTTTCAGAATATACTTAGCTTCTCTTGTGTTTATAATTGACTGACATTTATAACTCCCATCTGAATTAGTCATTCTAAAGCATCTTGAAAAGCACATGAACACGTGTGGATATGTTCATATGTAAATATACAGGAAAACCACTGCCATAAACATTGCCATTGTTATTACCTAATTATAATTAACCATTACAACGAGAAAAGCCAAGGGATCAGACAGGATATTACCCCACTTCTTTTCAAGAGGGTCTGAAATCATGTTTTTAGCAAACTGGAAAACATTTCACTTCAAGGAGATGTTAAACCATTTCATTTGATCATTTATTTAATCAAAGCATCACTATCTATTATCCTCTTTCTTTCCTTTTTGGCTCCAAATACTGTTCAAACCACAGTGGGGACACTGTCTTACAGATGATATTTGATTAGTTGACATTTGTACAGTTTATCAAACATTTTAAAAATCAGAGGTCTTCTTTACAACATCATATGCAAACAAACATCATCTACCGTAAGTATTCACAATATCTATGGCTCTCTACCATGTGATCACCTACTGCAAAGATTCAAAAGCAGAAACATGTTAGTGCTCATTTTTTAATTCACTCTTAAAAACACCTCTCCCTTTTCTGCTCCTCAATGCTGACTCCAATTATGAGACATGTTTAGCAGATAACTTTTAATGTATTGTCCCATTTTAACAATTCAACACTGATAAGTAAAATATAAAAAAGTTAGTTTGCTACTCCCTGCCTTTAAAGAACTCTTGACTGAACTTTGACAAAAACTACAAATCACTAAGACTTGAGAAGATTATTTTGAGGAAAGAGATTTATTAATTTATTAACTTTTTGCAACCAAGGTCCATCCTAAAGTTGTTTTACTTATTTATTTATTTTTTTAGAGAGAGGGGAAGGGAGGGAGAAAGAGGGACAGAAACATTGATGTGCCAGAGAAACATCAATTGACTGCTCCCACATATCCCCTATCAGGGACTTGGCCCGCAACCCAGGCATGTGCCCTGTCTGGGAATCAAACCAGCGACCCTTGGGTTCGCAGGCTGGCGCTCAACCCACTGAGCCACATCAGCCAGGGCTACTATCCTAAATTTAATAATAGGCAAAATGAACAATCAGCGATTGAAAAGCAAGGCAACTCATCCTGTTCCTCAGCAACACCATCATCATCACACAATAAGAGTTAACGGAGTATATATTATACAGGAAGCACAAAACATAGCACTTTAAAGCCATTATCTCATTTGATCCTTTCGAAGGGTTGTTTGTTTGTTTGTTTTTTACAGATAAGTAGTGTGCCAAACATCACATAGCTTGTACGCAACTGAGCTAAATTTAAAGCCTAACCTGCTTGATTCATAAGTCTGAGCTCATAACCAGCACACGTTATTTCTAATTAACTCCACTTCTCATTAAAATAAAAACCCACATTTTTGTGTCTTAAGGAAGAACTACTTTCTTAAACAACAGATCCCTAAGAACTTATCTCTCTCTTTTGTCACCTTCACTTTTGATTAAAAGGTAAAATGAGTTTTGTTTTTTATATATCTAAAGTAGAACCTAAAGCATAAAGAAATTCGAATATGATCTACAATTTCAGAGATGGACTTTAAGATTAAAAGTGATATGTCTCCAAAATAAAGTTTAGATTATGCTTATCTTCTATTATATAGTGATCAAGGAAGAAACATAATGTCAAATAAAGCTTGAAGTAAAGAAAATTCTTAGTGTGGCATAGGTATGATGTTAAAAACAACATATCAGTGATTTTTCAGATCCATTAGAATAACACTTCTTCACCTCGAGCCCCTGCACTTCTGGACAGAAAATGGTAGGGTTACTCAAAACTATACAAAATGTTTGTGCTTATGCATTTTTTTTCCTAGGAAAGGGGGTTATAGTTTTCACTGATTACTTAAGGAAATTCTTGCTTTTCATCACTCCGAATACTTCTTGCCAGACCCTTCTTCTCTGCAAAGTTTCTTTTGAGAAATCAGCTGAGAGTCTTATGGGAACTCCTTTGTGGGCAACTCCCTGCTTTTTTCTGGCTGCTTTTAAGATTATCTCTTTATCTTTAGCCTCTGGCAATTTAATTATGATATGTTTTGGTATAGTCCTCTTTGGGTCCAACTTGTTTGGGATTGATTCTCTGTGCTTCCTGGACTTGTATGTCTATTTCCTTTGCCAAGTTAGGGAAGTTTTCTTTCATTATTTTTTCAAATAAATTTTCAATTTCTTGCTCTTCCTCTTCTTCTGGCACCCCTCTGATTCAGATGTTGGTACATTTAAAGTTGATATAAAGCAAGGACCTACAACCTAGGTTGCTCTATCCAGCAAAGCTATCATTTAGAATGGAAGGGCAGATAAAGTGCTTTCCAGATAAGGTAAAACTAAAGGAGTTCACCATCACCAAGCCATTATTATATGAAATATCAAAGGAACTTATTTAAGAAAAAGAAGATCAAAACTATGACATTAGAATGACGACAAACTCATAACTACTAACTGAATCTAAAAAAACAAAAACAAAAACAAAGTAAGCAAATAACCAGAACAGGAACCACTAATTAAACCACTAATAGCTATGGAAGTCATTTGGAGGGTTATCAGCTGGGAGGGGGACGTGGGAGAATAGGGAAAAGGATGCAGGGATTAAGAAGCATAATTAGTAGAAACAAAATACACAGGGGGGTGTTAAGAATAGTATAGGAAAGGAAGATGCCAAAAAACTTACACACACCCACAGACACAAACTAACGGCGCGGGGTGGTTGCTAGAGGGAAGATGGGTATCAGGTGGAAGGGGGGCAAAGGGGGCAAAATTGGGACAATTGGAACAGCATAATCATAAAATATACTTAATAAAAAACAAAAAAGAAATCCATTACCCCCCCCCCCAAAGGTTAAGAAACACCACATAGGATAAGAATATTCAATCACCAGCCATGGAAAATTTGTCAAACACAAACCAATAGTCAGTCTAACAAAGTTTGTTCTTAAAAAGCAGAGTAACCATCAAGTGCAAGTTGGACTTATTATTAAGACTATTTTTTAAAAATTTTACTAGAAATTTATGTTCTATCATTGCCAGAAGCCTCTAAAATTACCACTATTAAAGCAAAGGGAACTTAAATGGAAAATAAGAATTCCAATTAACCGTGGCATTTAGCAGTTGGGTACCTGAGAATTTGCTGGGTGATTCACTGTCTCTTGGAAGTTATAATTCTCAGCAGACTAAGGGAAACTGTTGCAAAGAAAAACACTCAGATAATAAATATTCTTCCAAATACCATACTGCCAGTTCTCTTAAACAGAGGAATACAAAACAGATGTGACACACTGCACCCAAAGATTTTAGATTAACATTAATATTAAATCAATACAAAATGCAGTAAATTTTATATGCTTTAGTTATTAGATAGCATGGATCGAATAGACAGTTCAGTACTAAGCACAGATCAGAATGCTTAAAAAAATCTGAATGAACAGAAAAACCCCAACATTGATTACTTCAATATAAAACATATAAGGATCTAAGAAGTATATGTGGTGGGAATTAAATGAAACAAATTAAGTTGGGAGTGGTGATGATTTTTTTCCAGGAGAAGCTGCTAAGAACAAAGTTTTAATATCCACTCTCTTCCTTTTTTTCATTCCTATATGGAGTTCAAAGATAGATATTCAGGAGAAAGTATGCTCAATTTTATAAACCACTTTCGGTTTATTGGGAAACTATTTAAAAATTATTCCAGTTATCTCTAATATATTTTGAGGAAAGCAAAACTAAATGTTGCAAAATATTCAGATATTTAATGATTTAATGTTTTCTATTTCACAAAACAAATCTCTCTTAGGTGTAAACAAATTAGGTTCATAATCTTAGCAATTTGATTATTTTGTTTATTTTCCCATAGAGCAGACAAGACTCTGAGCAGAATTTATTATTTGGAGGGAATTTAACTGAGACAGTTATAACCGAAATAAGGTTTTAAGATTTTTTACAGTACTCCGAAGCCACTTCATATTGCGAGTTCGACAAACATCTCAATGGATACATATGGTATCTCAAACTCTAAATATATAAAAGTACATTTCAGAAGCTACCATTGGACTTACATTTCACCAGACCATTATGTTAATGTGCTAATTCTCTAGAATTAAATTGGTACTTAAAAAAAAATATTTAATCTAATTCAGTACTATCTCGGGTCTTTCTAGGTCTTTTTATTTAAAAAAAAGAAATACAAAACAGACACTCACAACATGAAAGGTAAGTAAAATGCCCACAATATATAGACGCATTTTTCTTCTTCTTTTTTTATATCTTGGATTGTTTTCTGATGTTTTCTTTAGTATTTTGCATCTATTTGTATAACTAAGCTGGGTATACAGTATTTCTTCTCTTACTGTCCATGGCTGGTTTTGGCTACAAGGTTATACCGGCCTGTAAATGAATAGGGGAATATTTCCACCCTGTTTTCTCTGGAAGAGTCTGCATAAGGCAGAAATAATCTGTTTCTTGAAATTAGATAAAATTTGTCTGTATAACTATCTCAGCCTGGTGTGAGAAAATTTTAAACCACTAATAAAAATTTTAAAGTAATAAGAATGAAACTTATTTTTCAGATAGTTTTAAAATGTGAATAAAATTATATATGATGTATGTTTTTCCCATTTATGTAAGTTTT